AGGGAAGCGCATGCTCGGCAAGTATATGTAAAGCGCTGCGTAAACTGACGGAGCTATATAAGTACCTGAAATAAATAAACAAAATTATATGTATATATACTGCATGTTGAAATGCGTTTTTATTATAAAATATATGAAAAATATTTTTCAAAATACATTTCAAAGACATACAGTAAGTATGTCTTTAAAAATAAAAATTTTTGGAATGCATTTACAAATATATGTAAAAATATATGTGAAAATGACTTTTTTATATGTTAAAAAAAATCTGAAGAATATATATATCCTGCAGATTTTTTTTAACATATAAAAAAAGTCATTTTAACATATATTTTTATATATATTTGTAAATGCATTCCAAAAATGTAGATTTGTATTTTTATAGACATACAGTATATTTGAAATGTATTTTGAAAAATATTTTTCATATATTTTATAATAAAAACGCATTTCAACATGCAGTGTGTGTGTATATATGTATATATGTATATATATATATATATATATATATATATATATATATATATAATTTATTTCTTTATTTGAGATACTTATATAGCGCCGTCAATTTACGCAGCGCTTTACATATATATTACATTCACATCAGTTCCTAACCCTCAAGGGGCATACAATCTAAGGTCCCTAACTCCCATTCATACATACACATACAGTGGGGCAAAAAAGTATTTAGTCAGCCACCAATTGTGCAAGTTCTCTCACTTAAAAAGATGAGAGAGGCCTGTAATTGGCATCATAGGTAGACCTCAACTATGAGAGACAAAATGAGAAAAAAAAAATCCAGACAATCACATTGGCTGATTTGGAAAGAATTTATTTGCAAATTATGGTGGAAAATAAGTATTTGGTCAATATGAAAAGTTCATCTCAATACTTTGTTATATATCCTTTGTTGGCAATGACAGAGGTCAAACGTTTCCTGTAAGTCTTCACAAGGTTGGCACACACTGTTGCTGGTATGTTGGCCCACACTGTTGCTGGTATGTTGGCCCATTCCTCCATGCAGATCTCCTCTAGAGCAGTGATGTTTTGGGGCTGTCGCTGGGCAACACGGACTTTCAACTCCCTCCAAAGGTTTTCTATGGGGTTGAGATCTGGAGACTGGCTAGGCCACTCCAGGACCTTGAAATGCTTCTTACGAAGCCACTCCTTTGTTGCCCGGGCGGTATGTTTGGGATCATTGTCATGTTGGAAGACCCAGCCACATTTTATCTTCAATGCCCTTGCTGATGGAAGGAGGTTTGCACTCAAAATCTCACGATACATGGCCCCATTCATTCTGTCCTGTACATGGATCAGTCGTCCTGGTCCCTTTGCGGAGAAACAGCCCCAAAGCATGATGTTGCCACCCCCATGCTTCACAGTAGGCATGGTGTTCTTTGGATGCAACTCAGCATTTTCTCTCCTTCAAACACGACGAGTTGTGTTTCTACCAAACAGTTCTATTTTGGTTTCATCTGACCATATGACATTCTCCCAATCCTCTTCTGGATCATCCAAATGCTCTCTAGCAAACTTCAGACGGGCCCGGACATGTACTGGCTTAAGCAGGGGGACACGTCTGGCACTGCAGGATCTGAGTCCCTGGCGGCGTAGTGTGTTACTGATGGTAGCCTTTGTTATGTTGGTCCCAGCTCTCTGCAGGTCATTCACTAGGTCCCCCCGTGTGGTCCTGGGATTTTTGCTCACCGTTCTTGTGATCATTTTGACCCCACGGGGTGAGATCTTGCGTGGAGCCCCAGATCGAGGGAGATTATCAGTGGTCTTGTATGTCTTCCATTTTCTAATTATTGCTCCCACAATTGATTTGTTCACACCAAGCTGCTTGCCTATTGCAGATTCAGTCTTCCCAGCCTGGTGCAGGTCTACAATTTTGTTTCTGGTGTCCTTCGACAGCTCTTTGGTCTTCACCATAGTGGAGTTTGGAGTGTGACTGTTTGAGGTTGTGGACAGGTGTCTTTTATACTGATAACAAGTTCAAACAGGTGCCATTGATACAGGTAATGAGTGCAGGACAGAGGAGCCTCTTAAAGAAGAAGGTACAGGTCTGTGAGAGCCAGAAATCTTGCTTGTTTGTAGGTGACCAAATACTTATTTTCCACCATAATTTGCAAATAAATTCTTTCCAAATCAGCCAATGTGATTGTCTGGATTTGTTTTCTCATTTTGTCTCTCATAGTTGAGGTCTACCTATGATGCCAATTACAGGCCTCTCTCATCTTTGTAAGTGGGAGAACTTGTACAATTGGTGGCTGACTAAATAATTTTTTGCCCCACTGTACTAGGTATAATTTAGACAGAAGCCAATTAACTTACCAGCATGTCTTTGGAGTGTGGGAGGAAACCGGAGTACCCGGAGGAAACCCACACAGGCACAGGGAGAACATGCAAACTCCAGGCAGGTGATGTCGTGGTTGGGATTCGAACCAACGACCCTAGTACTGCCAGGCGGAAGTATTAGGGTCATTGGTTCGAATCCCAACCACGGCATCACCTATATATATATATATATATATATATATATTTATTGAAATATATTGAATATGGCCAAAATTGTAGTATTTCAAATATATGGCAATATATTTGGGAAGAATATTTTTAAATATATTTCAAATATATTTTTGTTCCATATGGGTGACTTTTAAATCATATCTATGCACTGTTGTTCTATGCTTAGTTGCAGTGCATAGGTATGGGAAGAGAGCTGCGATGAGGTGCAGAACAATTCAGAAATGCTGCATATTTCCACTTAGCAATCTTTTGCTTCTACTGCCTGCAGTTTAATATGAACAAGGCACATAGAAATTAGTTGTTTTTTGTGTGTCCTTGTGGAAAACAGCATTTTTCCAGTGCAGAAAATTCTGGTCTCGGCACAAATGTGAACAAGGCTTCGGAGAGCTTCCTACGTTTTCCTATTCTATCTCTCTACCCCTCGCCTCACCCCTTCAGACTCCGCCCGTATCACAAGCCTACTGAACAACATATCAGATTGGATGTCACTCCACTTCCTCAAATTAAACCTTTCCAAAACCAATCTCCTAGTTTTCCCCCCCAGCCCGTGCCCCCCCCAACTTCTCCATCACGACCATCAACGCCACCATCAGTCCCACCCCGCAAGCCAGAGTGCTGGGTGTCATTCTAGGCTCCAATCTATCTTTCCAGCCCCAGGTCCAATCGCTGACAAATTTGTGTAGACTCCACCTGCGCAACATCTCTAAAATACATCCGTTCCTAACCCCAGACACTACTAAGCAACTCATTCTCTCCCTTATTATATCATGACTTGACTACTTTAACTCCCTCCTCACCGGCTTACCTCACCACAGACTATCCCTGCTTCAGTCTATCCTGAATTCTGCGGCCAGACTCATCCACCTTACTAACCGCTCCGTATCCGCCACCACCTCTGTCCTTCCCTCCACTGGCTTCCGATTGCCCAACGCATAAAATTCAAATTACTAACATTGACGTACAAAGCTATTCATAACACTGCCCCAAATTACCTCACCAACCTGATATCCAAATACCATCCAACACGTACTCTTCGCTCCTCACAAGACCTCCTACTCTCTAGTTCCCTGGTCTCCTCTTCCCATGCCCATCTCCAGGACTTCTCCAGGGCTTCCCCCATCCTCTGGAACTCCCTACCCCCATCCATCAGACTGTCACCTACCCTCCTCACCTTTAGGCGCACCCTGAAAACCCATCTCTTCAAGGAAGCCTACCACACCCTCACCTAACTGCCGATCTCCTCCACTCTTCCTACCACTCCATCCCCCGCAGCTATTTCCTCCTGTACCACTATCCCCTCCCTCCTAGATTGTAGATCCTCCAAGGAGCAGGGCCCTCGAACCCTCGTGTATCGCATTGTATTGTTACTGTACTGTCTCGTGTACTGTCTCCCATTGTAATGTACAGCGCTGAGCAAACTGTTGGCACTATATAAATACTGTATAATAATAATAATAATAATAATAATATTCTATCCTAAACAAGAAAGAAACATTTTGGCTACAGCTGATCTCTAATGGATAACTCAACCCACTGTGTTAAGGTAACAAAACCCTTCCAATATCTGTCCCCCGCACCCTAAACACCTACCTGAGTCCTGAGATTCTACTCATGCAGCACTGTGCCTGTCTGCAGCACCACTCTCCTCCCTTCCTCTTCCCCCAGGACACAAAGCCTGCATTGGGAGCCAATGGTTCTTTCAGCTGTCAGTCAAATCCTGTGAAGGGTCAGCAGAGTGTGGGGCCAAGCCTGTGTCTATGGACAAACACAGCCTGGCTTGGGAGCGCGACCATATGTGTGTCCCCATAGCAAGGCGTGTACCTGCTATCATGATTACTTGCTTACATCATGATTGATTTTTCACCTAAAAGTGATATTTTAACCACTTGCCCTCCAGAGGATTTACCCCCCTTCCTGACCAGGCAATTTTTTGCGTTACGGCGCTGCGTTTCTTTAACTGACAATTGCGCGGTCATGCAACGTTGCACCAAAATGCAATTTACGTCCTTTTTTTCCCACGAATAGAGCATTCTGTCAGTGGTACTTGATTGTCTGTGCATTTTTTCAATTTTTTGCGCTATAAAAAAAAAAGACTGACAATTTTGAGAAAAAAACAATATTTTTGACTTTTTGCTATTAAACATGTTCAATAAAAAAAATTAAATAAGCACATTTCATCATAAATTTATGGCAAAATGTATTGTGCTACATGTCTTTGCTAAAAGAAAAATAACAATACGTGTAAATTAATTGGTTTACATGAAAGTTATAGCATTTACAGATGGCGGTATATATACTGGAATTTTTTAAAAATAATTTTTACTAGTAATGGTGGCAATGAGCGACTTATAGATGGACTGCAGCAGGCATTCTGACACTGGAGGGAATTGACTTTGTGTCACTGACATCCCCAGTGACACCAATACAGTGATCAGTGCTAATAAAAAGCACTGGCACTGTATTAATGGCACTGGGCAGGAAGAGGTTAACATGTGGGGTGATCAAAGGTTTAACTGTGTGCTGTTTTACTAAGGGCTGTGTCTGTGCGCTTCACTGTAAGCACACTGCTTTGCATGGCTGTGCTGTGCACAGCCATGCAAAGCAGTGTGCACAAGCTAAAAGGGAGGAGAACTGATTTGATGCTTGGCAATCACTGGGCGCCAGTGAGTAATATACGTGATTTTGCGCACCCCTGCCACCCTGTAGCAGTATATCTGCTATAGGGCGGCGGGAATGCAGTTAATATAGGAGTTAGAAAAATTAATAATAGCGCCTATGGTCAAAATTATATAACTTACTAATAGTGTACCAGTTGCAAAAATCACCATATATAAAGTGTACCAATAAATAAATAATTTGCGCTAGTAAATGTGTATAAATATATAAATATATATAAAGAAATCAAATCATAAGTCCAGAAAAAAAATATATATATGCCAATACCACAAAAAAAATATAAAAAAACTTTTAAGTGCAAAAAACTTTTGTGCAAAAAAAAGTGTCTAAATATGAAAAATTTCACCAAAAAACCTTGATAATATAATGGCAGATCATCCATAAATATATCTTCAGAAACGGAAACTCTGCAACACACCGATCCTCATCGATCGAAATAACAGGATGAAAAACTTTGTAGTTAATCAAAAATCCACTTCTCCAATAGATAAAGACCACCTTCAAACGTATCCATGGGGGGAAATGCCAAGCACTCGAGAGAAACAGAAAGACTTCATGGTGCAATATTATAAAAACCAATTCCTTTATTAGGTACTCATTGCACTTACTCAAGAGGTGTCCCAGCCGACACCAGCATCAACAGCATAACAGCAATCACATAAACAAGCCTGGCTACTCAGCACATGCGCAGTAGCTGGCAGCCAAAAACGTAATGACGTCACATCAATCAAGCTCCGCCCTACACGTTTCGTCATCGACGTCCTCACGGAGCGGAAGAGGACATCGATGATGAAACGCGTAGGGCGGAGCTTGATTGATGTGACGTCATTACGTTTTTGGCTGCCAGCTACTGCGCATGTGCTGAGTAGCCAGGCTCGTTTATGTGATTGCTGTTATGCTGTTGATGCTGGTGTCGGCTGGGACACCTCTTGAGTAAGTGCAATGAGTACCTAATAATATAGGAGTTGCCTGGAAGGCTGAGTCACCCACCAGCTTCAAATATGTAACAAAAATGGAAATTGAAGCTCCACACTACTGCTAAAAGGTCCAGATCCAACTTTATGGCAATAAAAGTCAGGACAACCCAAAGACTTTCGATCCCCTGACTTTCATTGGAATAACTTTGTATCAAACACTCAGATTCATACAATATATTTTGGATAAAAAGATGGGAAAAATCCCCCCATTGTACCACCTGCTGATTTTAGCATCTTAGGTGTTTCTGCACATCTTGCATGTTCCAGCACCTCGTGTTGCATTTACTGTATTATCAAATAATGAGAACATCCAGTAGGGAAAGGTGTGAACCCCTCATACTAGTTACAGTAGGTCAGAAGAACTGGGATCTCACTAATACAGGAAATTGTCACATAGTTTTACTGCCTAGCTTCAACTGAAAACTGAAATACCAGTTTTAGGTTGGCTGACCCTTTAATAGAGTTCCCTATGTGAAGAATATCCTGAATTATAGAAAAAATATATTATTTTCATTGTTTTTGTGGCGTGCTAAGCAGTAGTTTCTTTTGTGCGTTCAGTTAATATTTCTGAATTTGTTTTGATGATACTTCAGAAGCTGCAATCTTTTAGTTATCTCAGGTAACATACATTGTACTATGTATATTCATAACTAAATCAGCTTTAAAGATGAACTAAAAGCAAAAAGCTAAATGAATACATGAACTACATGTATAAGGGCTGTTCCACATTCTATCCATCAAATCCTGAGATTGACACAGCTCTGCCACACCTGTTCTTTCTCTGTTACAATTTTCAGTACAAGTTTTCTCCTACCCTTCCTTACCTCCTGGACAGCCCTTCCCTCCGGACTGGACAGTGAAAAGACAAGCAGAACACTGATGAGCTCTATCCCTTTATCAGCATGCTCCTTGCACTGCAACACATCAGATATGCTCATTGTGCTGCTTCTCTCGGTTCTTCTCTGAGCTCTGCAGTACAGAAACAGCAACAGGAAGATACCAGGTCAAATGAAGGTACTGTACTTACGCTGCTTGCATTTACATTAAGTCTAGGTTCACGCTGATGCGGTGCAAGCTGAATCCATTTTGCAGTGGATTTTAGAAGAAGCTCCAGTGTGAGTTGGTACTAGAATCTCCTAGGGTCCACAGCAGTGGTCTCCAAACTGTGGCCATTGTCTTGTTTGTATCAGGCCCTTGGGGCACTATTTCATCCAATGATACCAACAATGGGGCATAATTATCTCCACTGGCACCAATGAAGGGGCACCATTTCTTCCATAACACCAATTTCAATTTCACAATGACACCAACAGTGGGGCACAATTCCTCACAATGACACCAACATTGGGGCCCAGTGACACCAATAATGGGGTACAATTCCTCACAATGACACCAACAATGGGGCCTAATGACACCAATGATGTGGCACAATTCCTCCCAATGACACCAACGATGAGGCGCCATTTCTCCCACTGGCACTAAGGATGGGGCATGGTTTGTTCCCATTGACGTCGAGGCCTTTTTTTTTACTCCCAATGACCACAGTCCGATCCCCCCTAAAGTCTGAAGCACAGTAAACTGGCCCTTTGTTTCCAATGTTTGGAGACCCCTTGTCCACAGAATGCATTTTCTATTCAAGTCTGTGGAGCTACAAATCGCACCACACTAAACTTGCCCAGGACCCTTTTTAAAATTGCATTGGATTCGCACTGCATATATGTGAACAGTCTCCATAGAAACTCATGTTCTTTCACTTGTCAGGAGATTCAATGCTTTCTGGAACGCATCAGAAATTGTATCAGTGTGAATCAGGGTTTTAAAGTCGAAAGAAAGGCTAAAATGTTGCCTTCCTGTTGCTCCTCATTGTACCACATACAGTTTAGCATAAACATTAAAATGGTTGGAAAGGCTCAAGGTTTTTTTACCTTCATGAATTTTGTTTTCAAAATGTATTTATTTATTTCAGGTACTTATATAGCGCTGTCAATTTACGCAGTGCTTTACATATATATATTGTACATTCACATCAGTCCCTAACCCTCAAGGGGTGTACAATCTAAGGTCCCTAACTTACATACACATATTAGGGCAATTTACACAGGATCCAATTCACCTACCAGCATGTCTTTGGAGTTTGGGAGGAAACTGGAGTACCCGGAGGAAACCCACGCAGGCACAGGGAGAACATGCAAACTCCAGGCAGGTGGTGCCTTGGCTGGGATTCGAACCAACAACCCTAGTACTGCCAGGCGGAAGTCCTAACCATTTAGCCACTGTGCTGCCCTAAAATATTTTACAAATAAGTATCTGAAAAGTGTGGTGTGCATTTGTATCCAGCTCCCTTTACTCTGTGTAGAATTTAATCTCAGTATAAATTCAGCTTTTCTGTGAAGCCTTCAGAGGTTTGTTAGAGAATATTAGTGAACAAACAGCAGTATGAAGGTCAAGGAACACAGCAGACAGGTCAGGGATAAAATTGTGGAGAAGATTAAAGCAGGGTTAGGTTATAAAAAAATATCCCAAGCTTTGAACATCTCACGGAGCACTGTTCAATCCATCATCCAAAAATAGATGAGTATTGCACAGCTGCAAACCTACCAAGATATGGCTGTCTACCTAAACTGACAGGCCAGGCAAGGAGAGCATTAGAGAAGCAGCCAAGAGGCCCATGGTAACTCCAGAGGAAATGCAGAGATCCACAGCTCAGGTGGGATAATCTGTCCACAGGACAACTATTAGTCATGCATTCCACAAATCTGGCCTTTATGGAAGAGTGGCAAGAAGAAAGCCATTGTTGAAAGAAAGCTGTAAGAAGTCCCATTTGCAGTTTACAAAAAAAGCCATGTGGGGGACATAGCAAACATGTAGAAGAAAGTGCTCTGGTGAGATGAGACCAAAATTGAACTTTTTGGCTGAAAAGCAAAACGCTATGTGTGGTGGGAAACTAACACTGCACATCAACCTGAACACATCATCCCCACTGTGAAACATGGTGGTGGCAGCATCATGTTGTGGGGATGCTTTTCTTCAGCAGGAACAGGGAAGCTGGTCAGAGTTGATGGGAAGATGGATGGAGCCAAATACAGAGCAATCTTAGAAGAAAAGCTGTTAGAGTCTGTAAAAGATTTGAGACTGGGGTGGAGGTTCACCTTTCAGCAGGACAACGACTCTAAACATACAGCAGAGCTACAATGGAATGGTTTAGATCAAAGTATATTCATGTGTTTGAATGGCCCAGTCAAAGTCCAGACCTAAATCCAATTGAGAATCTGTGGCAAGACTTGAAAATTGCTGTTCACAGACGCTCTCCATCCAATCTGACAGAGCTTGAGCTATTTTGCAAAGAAGAATGGGCAAAAAAATCCCTCTCTAGATGTGCAAAGCTGGTATTTTGCAAAGAGACATCCCCAAAAAGACTTGCAGCTGTAAATGCAATGAAAGGTGGTTCTACAAAGTATTGAAAATAGAAACGAACTCTCCTGCGCTCTGAGACCCAAAAGAGGTAGATAGATGGAACCAGAACTTGAAAAAAATTCGACCACCTGTGCATATGGGGTTGTGCAGCTCCAAACAAGGCTGGGGAAGCCCGAACAATACTGTGAAGCAAAAACAAAAAAGAAGCGCACCAACCTTGCGCATTACCTCAGTAGACCAGATATTTATTGAATACAAAAATATACTCACAAACAATGAAGTATTTCAAGCATGTCAGTTCTCAAAGGAACTATGGAATGGTAAGACCTGCGCGAGTCCCGTCATAGGGGTGGACACTCAGGGAACAGCTGACACGTTTTGAAAGATGTTCCTTCTTCATCAGAGCTCTGAGCTTCTTTTTTGTTTTTGCTCTACAAAGTATTGAGTCAGGAGAGCTGAATACAAATGCACGCCACACTTTTCACATATTTATTTCTAAAAAATTTTGAAAACCATTTATCATTTTCCTTCCACTTCACAATTATGTGCCACTTTGTGTTGGTCTATCACATAAAATCCTAATAAAATAAATGTAAATTTTTGGTTGTAACATG